TGAAAATGAAATCCTTGACAACTTCAATATTTTCTCCATTGATCATGATGTTGCTTATTGGTCCAGTTATGAGGATTTTTGTTTTCTTTATGTTGAGGTGTAATCCATACTGAAGGCTGTGATCTTTGATCTTCATCAGTAAGTGCTTTAAGTTCTATTTACTTTCAGCAAGGAAGGTTATGTCATCTGCCTAACAGGTTGTTTATGAGTCTTCCTCCAATCCCGATATCCTGTTCTTCACATAGTCCAGCTTCTTTTTTTCCCCAATTGAAAAGTTTATTTAGTGTACTTCTTTAATATGATCTTTGCCTTTAGACTCTTGGACTTTGTTACATATATATTTTTCATTTATTATAATTTATTTTGTTTTTCATTGTTGTTGATTTATAATATACACAGCAAAATATACACCACTTCAACAGTTTCTACATGTACAATTCAGTGACATTGATTGCATTTTTCAAGTTGTACATCCATTCTCACTCTCTTTTTTTGAGTTGTTCCTCCCCCCTTAACATAAGTTCACTGCCCCTTAAGGTTCCTATCTAATCTTTTGAGTTGCTGTTGTCAGTTTGATCCCATATAAATAGATCTTAAACGAGCATAATGCTCAAGGCAGATTTCTTTAGTAGTTAAGCTAAGCTATGGTTTGGTTTTAAGAAGACTTCAGGGGATATTTTTGGTTTAAGGTTTAAAGATTAACTCAGGGCAATAATTTGGGGGCTTTGTCCAGCCTGTGTGGCTCCATAGGGTTTCCAAGGAGAGGCTGATGGATAAGAAATGCTGATCTTTTGGTTAGCAGCTGAACTCTTAACCACTACACCATCAGGGCTCCAGAAAGTCTGGAATCTATGAGAATTTGAAATTTTGTTCTGCATTTTCCCTCTTTTGATCAGAATTCTTCTATAGAATCTTTGATAAAAATGTTCAGGAATATTTTTTTTTAAATTGCATCTCTTAAAATATGGGCTCTAAAAGTAGCTAACTTTTCCAACTTTGCAAGACCTGAACAAAGTTTCTGTTTCTTTATCTCTGTTCACAGATTGTCTCTAGTGTGTCTTTTTTGTGTATCATATTGACAAAAACAGTGAATAGTAATCAAAACATTCTACTAAATTTGTATTTTCCAATCTCTTCTGCTACAGATGTAGAATAAATATGCATCAGAACTTCTCTCAGATTGCATCCGGTATACTTTATAACAATGGATCACCATCTTTTCAGCCTCTCATAACACTTCTTCATTGCCATAATTCTTTAAGACAATTTCACATGTTATAAGCACTTTAATTTTGGTAAAATATTTTGTTGGGTTATACTGAATTAACAAATACACCTCAAAATTCAATGTGATCCTTACTCGCACAAAGACCGCTTTTAGAGTTTAGTGTCTTTTTTCTAAGCACTGACGCATGAATCCTGTTGGCAGTAATCTTGTAGATACATCAACTGAAACATATAGCTTCCAGGTAGCCATAGCATGAAGAGAGAGAGATGATGAGATGTGTATCAGAACTCAAAGGCTTTGATCTGGACTGGACCTTTGCTATTTCTAACATTCCAAAGGCAAGAACAATATCATTTAAGGGTGGCTGAGAAGTTCAGGGTAGCCTATGTAATACATTTTGAACTCTACTCTCTCAGTCAGAGTTCCAGAAACTTATTCTGGTTATCACTAGTTACCTCAGCTAAATATTTAGTTGTGGACCTCTTCCTCACTATTTGTTGGATCACCTCTGGTCATTGTGAGCTTCTGCCACTACTTCATACTACTTTGCTCTAACTTTGGACAAAAGTTCCTTTTTGAATTCCCTTAGAATATCTAAATCCACACCATCGTATGTATAATATGGCATTATGGAAAGAATAATACAAAGGAGTTAAGGCGTTAAATCAGGAAATGTAAACTTGGTGAATAGTTTTATACACACACACACACACACACACACAAACCCTTTGCAGTCAAGTTGATTCCGACTCATAGTGACCCTATAAGACAGAGTAGGACTGACCCATAAGGTTTCCAAAGAGCAGCTGATGGACACCAACTGCTGACCTTTTAGTTAGCAGCCGTAGCTCTTAACCACTGCTTCACCGGGGCTCTCTTTCTGTCTCTCTCTCTCTCTCTCTCTATATATATATATATATAGTATATATAAACCAAACCCTTTGCCATCAGTGAATTACTATTTGGCAATAAAAAAGGAAGGAATTACCTATACATGTTACAATATAAAAAATCCTCAAAAACATTATGCTAAACAAAAGAAGCCAGTCACAAGAGGCAACATATAATTCCATTGATATGAAATGTCCAGAAAAGGCAAATTTATAGAGACAGAAAGATCAATGTTTGTCTGCAACTCAAGTTGGGTGTTGAGACTGACTGGAAGAAAACTTTTCTTTGGGTAATGGAAACATGTGGTGTATTCACCCAGCTCTGTACATTTGCAAAAGGAGCCCTGGTTGGGCAATGGTTTAGTGTTCTGCTAATTGAAGGGGTCAGTGGTTTGAACCCACCAGCTGCTCTGTGGGAGAAAAGACCTGGTAATCTGCTCCTGTAAAGTTTACAATCTATGAAACCCTATGCGGCAGTTCTACTCTGTGCTATAGGGTCACTATGAGCCGGAATCGACTTGTCCACACACAATATCAACATACATTTACAAAAGTTATTTAATAGTAGATTTGCAATGGGTAAATTCTATGAAATGTAAATTGTATCTCAATAAGGCTATTTAAAACTCCAGAGCCTTTTTCTATACTGAATTTTGCTACATATATGTTTATATTTTTATTTTCGTTGTATGATTAAGGTCTATTTTGTGAGGAGTCAATGGAATCTTGTATTTCTCAGCCTTGGTGGAAAGGAAGTACCTGCCAAAATAACAGCTCTGCTTACTTTTGTCATTTCCCAGAAGGCTTTCTGGATCAAAACTGTGAAACAAATGTCAATGAGTCTTCATCAACACCATGTCTGAATGTCACTGAATTTACCTCCAACGATATACCAAATGTAAGTCTAAACCTCACATACAAGTGAGTAGTTTTTAGAAAATTCTCACCACTACCAAATAACACGAAAATTACAAATATTTAAAGTTTCCATTAACATATTATAATTTTCAAAACCAGAGAAATCAGAGAAGCTACTTGTTTATTTTCATTTTTTACGTTATTTTATGTAGAAATTTCAGTTTCAAAACACTGATTCAGTTTCACTTTTTTCTACTATCAGAATTACTCCTTATGAATAATATAATTTTGTACACTTCATTTTTAATTATTTATCTTTAATTTTTTATTTGATTTTGTTAAATTTTAACTTTTTATTTTAATAATTAATTATGAGTAGGAAAGAATTCGTTACTCAGAGTATCTCAAGAAGTTACATTCAGAAAATGACTGGGGCTGGAGTTTATCTCGAATGCTTCCTTACTGAAATATCTGGTAGCTGACGCTGAGCCTCAGCTGGAACAATCAGCCAGAAAACCGAAATATGGCTTCTCCACCTTGCCTGGGCTTTCTCACAACATGGTGACTGAGTTCCAGTAACAAGCTTTTTGAACCTAGCCTTGAAAATTACATAGGATCACTTTCTTCATCATCACAAGTTTGACCACATTTAAGATGAGGGAATAAAATTCCAACTTCACAATTGAACAAGTGTTAAATTTATATGTGGAAAGACCAGGTCGGAAGGAAGATATTGTTACCATTTTGGAAAATAGTCTGCCTCATTGCTGCTCACAGAAACTTACCACATGCTTATGAAGATAAGTTCCATCCCTCTCTGAGTAAGAATTAATTTTATTATCTTTTAAATATTGTAAACATTCTTATAAAAATAGTTTTTAATCTTTCCAGGATGTTACATGCATCAGCTTATCAATATTTGCAGACAAGCATTATAAGAGACTTCAAACAACACACGCGGCTTTTCCTTGCATGAATGTCACGTGGATGGAACATAAGGAAGATTATGATGGCAGGTATAGTTAATTAATTTCCTAAGTTTATTGTTTTAACACATGATACATGAATTTTAGAGTCATATGGACAAAATAAAAGTGTCTTGTTTTTAATTTTATTTCATTTCATTCAATGCCATATAATATTCTATTTCAAATAACAGTAGAAATTTTCTATGTTTGTTTTGAGTTGATTTATATTTGCAGTAATAGTTTTCAATAAATACTTGAGAAATTCTCAGAAATAAATTGGGCATAGAGTTGTATGTTTTATTTTATAATGAAAAATTTCAGGATAATTGAGTAATATTCGTAGGTCTAGAATGAAGTAAGTCATCTATATCTCTGTAGAATTATTCCTATTTTTACACATATAATGTTAATATTATATTTTGAAAGGACAGAATAACCTTTTCCTCTTATAATTCAGACCTCAGTTGATAGTTTTTGGTTAGGGTCTTTAAGTAGAATTTTGGAAATTAATGTTTTATGTAAATAGGAATTTGCTAAAAATTACCCACTTGTAAATGACAGAAGTGACCCAGATATCTGGGGCTATAATTTTAGTCTCTTTTAAATAGCTTTATAGATATTTTCTCACACCATTAAGAAGTACAACTTGTATTCTTCACACTTGCTTGACTTTTTATCTGGCTACTTATACTAAGTTCTGTTGGGCACTATTCAAGGGCAGTAAACAAGCTCAAAATATTAGAATATTCATAAAAACAGAAAATTAAATGCTGTGGTATATGAAAGTCTTATACCAAAAAGGAACCTGAAATATGCATACATATGCACATTATTGTAATCAATTTCAAAGGAACCTAAATGCAAAGTTTAAGAAAACATATTAAGGTTTCAAGATATGACTTTTTCCAAGAGGATGACAAGAAATCCCATCATTATAGTAAGATCTTTGATGAGCTAACCCATCCAGTCAAATTTGCGAATGCATTCTATCTTGTATTAATCAATGAACCTGTTATCCTTTCAGAAATTTTGACTTTTACTTTATGATTTCTAGGGTTAAGCCTTATATTGCTAGTGTATTTGTGAATCGACTTAAAAAAATGATAGACTTTTTGAAATATGCTAACCAGTCAGTTGCCTTCAAGTTGATTTTGACTCATGGCCACCACATGTATATATGAATAGAACTATGCTCCACAGGGTTTTCAATGGCTGATTTTTTTTTGAAGTAGATAGCCAAGCCTTTCTTCTGAGGAGCTTTCAGGTTGACTTGAACCTCCAATCTTTTGGTTAGCAGTTGAACACATTAACTGTTTGCACCATTTGTATAATGGGTAGCATTATACAAATATAAACATACATTTGTATATAATTATTGATTTTATTCTTTTTTTTATGAAATATGATGCTTTTATTAACCCTTATTATTAGCATTATTCTAGTTGTCTGGAGGTTTAAAAAAAATGATCCATCAAGGGAGTAACTAGAGAACCAGAGGCATTGTTGACATCCCTTATTGCATTGCACTGTTATTAATTAATATGTTTAATTGAAAAATGAAGGAATTTGATCTGAAATGCTTTGTTTAACATGTTTTAGTTAGGATGGATATTGTAGAAACTCAAGCTGGTTTTCCCCAGGATGGATGAAATATGTTAATTAGGTAAGCTGGTTGTAATAACTTTGAAGTATTTACTCAGAAAATTAGTTTGAGCTATTGTATGTGTTCTAATTGTTGCTATTGCCCACATATTCTAAGAAATTGGCATACATTGTACTCACCCCAAACCCACTTACTTAAATATATTTTATCTTCTTTTGGTTATATTAGACTTGGGATTAATAGAAGGTAAAATATAAGGAAAGTAAGAGTAGAGTAAAAACAAAACTACTTCAACAACACAAAATAACACATAATCTAATTTGAATGATGAGTGACATCATAACCCTCAGAAATCAATGAGAGTGAGGCCCTGTGGTATGAGAGGTGAGAGAAAGTAGCCACCACTTGAGAGATAACATACAGTCAAAGGAAGAAGTCCTAAAAGGGAAGTTAAGAGAATGTACAAATCTGATTGGGGAAGAAGATACATATGATGAAGAGCCATCTGGGAGGCTCTGAATTCTTGGGGTGTCTGACATAAATAGTGATAAGGAATAGTCTTGATGATCTGAACGACAGATCACAGTGGGTAACTTTGAGAGTTGGGATTAAATTAGGGGTGTCACTTCTTGCCAGGAACTTGCAAAGCTTAATGGACTGTCCTTTGAAGCTTCCCCAAAGGAAGTGTTAAAGTAGCGGGACTCTGTGGGCCCCACTTCAATTTCATAGACGACAGGGTCTAGGGCACTGCAGGCACATCACCAATGAAGCTTTCTAGTCTCCCTGATTACCTCTTCAATGGAGATGCAGGAGTAGTAGAGGGCGGGGCATTATAATATGAACACACAGGACTCCGAGTTCTCCACTAAACACTAGAGGGGGAGGTATTTGTGCTACAAGACCATAGATGGGCTTTGAAGACTAAAACTGTCATGAACCAGACTTCTAACATTACCATCACACACATACACACACACACTTATATAATTTAATATTTACTGAATATAAATAATGAATTATGACCCCATGTGTTGCACAGTAGAACAGTTCCATATGGTTTCCTTGTCTTAAAGAACCAGATCATGAGGCCTTTCTCTCGTGGTGCCACTGGATGGGTTTGAACTGTCAACCTTTAGGTCAGTAGTTGAGCAGAAACCATTTGCACCAAACACATGGGATCACCATGGGTCAGAAATAACTCAAAGGCAATGGGTTTTTTTGTTTGTTTGTTTTAAGTAACTAATATTTTCTTTATGTAGAAAGATCACATTTTGAATATGCAATGTAAAATAAGGAAACATGAATCTGGAAATAAGTTTCAAGAAAATTAGATGGTGTCCTTCTCATACAAATTTTTACAGACTTAAATTGTTTAACACAATTGGCATACACTGTACTCATCCCAAACCCATCTACTTAAATGTACTTATTTGCTTTTATAAAGAAAACTCTTTATTGAGAGCTCCCTTTATAAAAGACACCATAAACTATGACTTGGAGAAATGCAAATACTCTAAAATATCAGAAACTTTGTGATATATAGATGTCTTCTTTCTGAACCTTTTATTTTCTCCACTCAAATTCTAAGATATTTCAAGGGATACAATTTCTAGTTTTTCCACTTAGTTCATTGTTTTTTGTTTTTTGTTTTTTCCTACTTACTGAGTTGCAGTTATTATGGCTTACACCTTGTAAGTGTCAATGCAATGTATGAACATACCTATTTTTTCCAAGACAGTTTCAGCATTTCATTAGGCTGTGTGATAAGTCTCACCAAGTCAGCTATGAGAAGGGTTAGGATTTTCAGTTTGTGTCACAAGTAAACCTAATTAAGCATGCACTGTGACTTTGAAATAGAACACTGTATCTACAGAAGCACATAGGTCAACATATTTTCCATCAATATATACTAAAATTAAATTTTCACATTAATACTGAAAATTACTTTTTAAAATAGCAATCACACATCCTGGGTAAGGAATTTAGTAACTAATGGAGTGCTACTACTTGGTCACTCAATAATTCTCAACTAACAGGAAACCTCAATTTCTTCAGTTAATTATTTCAAAAGCTGGACTGCTACATTTTTTCTTTGCTTGAAACCAATAGCCATATTTATGAGGCTAACTTTCTCTTTTGAACAAACCATTCTGAAGCTTAACAGATAGAAAAACATTTGTTAATCTGTAAATACAGTTTTTTGGGTTTTTTTTACTTCATATATTAGTTATAAACTATATTATAAAATAAATATCTAGGACATTGTTGACTTTTCCTCATCAAAAGTAGCTTCTACAAGTAGTATAATTTTATATTTTCAGGAACTATTATAGCTGATATAAATCAGCCTCAAAGTTGGACCCCTGAATACCTAATTTTGAGAAGATATGTGTTATGGATTGAATCGGGTCCCCCAAAAATGTGTATCAACTTGTCTAGTCCATGATTCTCAGTATTGTGTGATTGTCAAACGTTTTGTCTCTGGTGTGATTTTCCTGTTGTTGTTGTTGTTAGATGCCATCGAGTTGGTTCCGACTCATAGCGACCCTACGTACAAAACAACGCAACACTGCTCGGTCCTGTACCATCTTCACAATTGTTGTTTGTGTCCCTTGTTGAAGCCACTGTGTCAATCCATCTCATTGAGAATTTTGCTCTTTTTCGCTGACCTTGTACTATACCAAGCATGATGTCCTTCTCCAGGGACTGATCCCTCCTGATAACATGTCCAAATTATGTGAGACATAGTCTCACCATCTTTGCTTCTAAGGAACATTTTGGTTGTACTTCTTCCAAGACAGTTTTGTTCTTTCTTTTGGCAGTCCATGGTATATGCAATATTCTTCGCTAGCACCACAATTCAAAGGCGTCAATTCATCTTCGGTCTTCTTTATTCATTGTCCAGCTTTTGCATGCATATGAGACAATTGAAATATCATGGCTTGGACCACACACACCTTAGCCTTCAAGGTGACATCTTTGCTTTTCAACACTTTAAAAAGGTCTTCTGCAGCAGATTTGCCCAATGCAATGCATCTTTTGATATTCTTGACTGCTGCTTTCATGGGTGTTGATTGTGGATCTAAGTATAATTAAATCCTAGACACTTCAAACTTTTCTCCATTTATCATGGTGTTGCTTATTGGTCCAGTTGTAAGGATTTTTGTTTTATTTATGTTGACGTGTAATCTGTACTGAAGGCTGTGGTCTTTGATCTTCATCAGTAAGTGCTGCAAGTCCTCTTCACTTTCAGCAAGCAGTGTTGTGTCATCTGCATAACGCAGGTTGTTAATGAGTCTTCCTCCAATCCTGATACCCCATTCTTCTTCATATAGTCCAGTTTCTCAGATTATTTTCTTAGCATATAGATTGAATAAGTATGGTGAAATGATATAACCGTGATGCACACCTTTTCTGACTTTAAACCACTCAGTATACTCTTGTT